CTGCATGCCTACTTTTGGAGTTATTGCGCTTTGTTCATTCTGACACTTTGAACTTTGTCCGGGACATTACTCTAAAATTATAAGAGATATCAACATGAACCTTTGTAGATAGATAGGTTCATTGGGTGGAAGTGCAGTGCTTAAGAATCATTACTCTGCCTTGCCTTTTTTTGAAGTTATTGCCCTTTGTTTAGTTTTACTTTTTGACTTTTGTCCGGGACATAACTTTAAAACTATTAGAGATATCAACATGAAACTTTGTAGGTAGCTAGATATAATTGGATAGAACTGCAATGCTTAAAGAACCTAAACAAAGCCTTGTCTAATTTTGGAGTTATTGCCCTTTGTTCATTTTTACACTGAATTTTACACTGGACATTACTCTGATATCATCAGGAAACTTTATAGATAGATAGATCTCATTGAATAGAAGTGCAGTGCAAAAAAACATAACTCCGCCTTGCCTAATTTTGGAGTTTTTGCCCTTTGTTCATTTTTTAGCTCACCTGTCACAAAGTGACAGGGTGACCTTTAGTGATCTCTTTTCGTCCGGCATCTGGCCGTCATCCGTCCGTAAACTTTTACTTTAAATGACATCACCTCATAAACCACTGAGCCAATTTCATCCAAACTTCACAGGAATGTTCCTTTGGTGGTCACCTTTAAAACTTGTTCAAAGAATTTAATTCCATGCAGATCTCTGGTTACCATGGCAACCAAAAGAAAAAACTTTAAATATCTTCTTTTAAAAAACCCAAAGAGCTAGAGCTTAGTTATTTGGCATGAAACATCTTCTAGTGAGTGTCTACCAAGTTTGTTCAAACAAAAGCCCTGGGGTCAAAATTGGCCCCGCCCCAGGGGGTCATTGATTTTCCCTTTATGCATATAGTATAAACTTAAAAAATCTTCTTTTAAAGAACCCAAAGAGCTAGAGCTAAGATATTGAGCATGAAACATCTTCTAATGAGTGTCTACCAAGTTTGTTCAAATAAAAGCCCTGGGTTCAAAATTGGCCCCGCCCCAGGGGGTCATTGATTTTCCCTATATGCATATATTAAAAACTTAAAAATCTTCTTTTAAAGAACTCAAAGAGCTAGAGCTAAGATTTTTAGCATGAAACATGTTCTTATGGGTGTCTACAAAGTTTGTTAAAAAAAAAGCCCTGGGGTCAAAATTGGCCCTGCCCCAGGGGTCATTGATTTTCCTTATATGTGTATAGCAAAAACTTAAAAAATCTTCTTTGAAAATACCCAAATAGCTAGAGTTTAGATATTAAGCATGAAACATCTTCTAGTGAGTGTCTACAAAGTTTGTTCAAATAAAAGCCCTGGGGTCAAAATTGGCCCCGCCCCGGGGGACATTGATTTTCCTTATATACGGTATGTATAGCAAAAACTTAGAAAATCTTCTTTGAAAAAACCCAAATAGCTAGAGTTTAGATATTTTTAGCATGAAACATCTTCTAGTAAGTGTCTACAAAGTTTGTTCAAATAAAAGCCCTTGGGTCAAAACTGGCCCCGCCCCAGAGGTGTCATTGTTTTTAATTATATGTGTATAGTAAAAACTTAAAAAATCTTATTGTAAAAAACCTAATGAGCTAGAGGTAAGATGTTAAACATGAAACATCTTCTTGTGGGTGTCTACCAAGTTTGTTCAAAAAGCCCTTGGGTTAAAATTGGCTCTGGCGGGGGGTGGGGGGGTGCAGGGGTCATTGTTTTTCATTATATGTGTGTAGTGTGTAGTAAAAACTTAACATCATGAAACATCTTCTAATGGATGTCTTCCAAGTTTGTTCAAATAAAAGCCCTGGGGTTTAAACTGGCCCCGCTCCCGGGGCCTATATACAGGTGAGCGATCTCAGGGCCATCATGGCCCTCTTGTTTTATACTTTCCTGTGTTCAGAACCTTCTCAGTGAGCATCACCCGGTTCAACCGGTTCTTGTTTTTTCCTGTCATCTTTTTATTAGCTCACCTCTCACAGTGACAGGCTGTACTGTTTAATAAAATGTCTGTCAGAGGTAAAATTAGAAAACAACATCTAAACAACATCTCAGCTACCGGTTTAATTTTGGAATAATTTAACACTAAAATTTTCTTGGTGACAGTGTAAAAAATTGTTCAGATTAAGCTGTCCCTTGTTTTTGAAATTGTGCTTCTGGGGTGAAAAGGGGCTCCTCTTTGACTGTTTGACCTTTTCTCAGGTCAGCAATCCAGGGCCCTCTGGGCCCTCTTGTATAATTTTGTGTAGAAAAACAAATTTAAGTCTTTATTTAGTGAAACTACAATGCCTAGAGTTTAGATTTTTGACATGTAGCATTGCCTTGTTGATATATAATTTTGTATGAGAAAACAAATTTCAATCTTATTTTTGGAAACTACAATGCCAAGAAAATATTAAGCATGTAGCATTGCCTTGTGAACATCTGCAAAATTGATATTAATCATGCCCCTGGAGTCTAAATTGGCCCAGAGTCACTTTTATATAGGCAATCAAATTTAAGTCTTATTGTGTGAACTTCAAAGCCCAGAGGTTAGATATTTGGAATGTATCATCAATTTGTTGATTTCTACAAGAGATATATATTAATCATGACCCTCAGGTAAAAATTGGCCCTGCCCTAGGAAAACACATTTTATCTTTTTGTTGATAATACTCTATATATTTGGCATATAGTATTGCCTAGTAGACCTCCATAAAAGTTTTATGAATCATGCATTTAGAAATGCCTCCACCTTGGAGGTCATATGGTATCATAGGATAATTAAGATAAAACCTTTTTCAGACAAGTTTCTTGATTGGGTCTCTACCCTAATTGAAAGGTTATTATACCCCCAAAAACGAAGTTTGGGGGGGTATATAGGAGTCACCCTGTGGTCGGTCGGTCGGTTGGTCGGTCGGGCGGTCGGGCGGTCGGTCGGTCCAGACGTCCGTTGCATTTTCCTTGTCCGGAGCATAACTTGAAAACTAATGGTTGGAATTCAATATAACTACATACAATGGTCAAGCACATTGAGAGGAAGTGCAGTGCACAAGAATCATAACTCTATCTTGACTAATTACAGAGTTATTGCCCTTTGTTACTTTTTCTTGTCCGGGGCATAACTTGAAAACTACTGGTTGGAATTCAAAACAACTTCATACAATTGTCAAACACAATAAGGGGAAGTGCAGTGCACAAGAACCATAACTCTATCTAAAGTAATTACAGAGTTATTGCCCTTTGTTGCTTTTCCATTGCTTTTTTTTTGACTGTTGCATTTTCCTTGTCCGGAGCATAACTTGAAAACTAATGGTTGGAATTCAATATAACTACATACAATGGTCAAGCACATTGAGAGGAAGTGCAGTGCGTAAGAAACATAACTCTATCTTGACTAATTACAGAGTTATTGCCCTTTGTTACTTTTCCTTGTCCGTGGCATAACTTGAAAACTACTGCTTGGAATTCAAAACAACTTCATACAATTGTCAAACACAATAAGGGAAAGTGCAGGGCACAAGAACCATAACTCTATCTAAAGTAATTACAGAGTTATTGCCCTTTGTTGCTTTTCAAATGCCTTCTTTTTTTTGTCCGAAGCATAACTTGAAGACTAATGGTTGGAATTCAATATAACTACATACAATGGTTAAGCACATTGAGAGGAAGTGCAGTGCATAAGAACCATAACTCTATCTAAAGTAATTACAGAGTTATTGCCCTTTATTACTTTTCCATTGCTTTCTTTTGTCCGGACCATAACTTGAAGACAAATTGTTGGAATTCATTATAACTTCATACAATGGTCCAGCATATTGAGAGGAAGTGCAGTGCACAAGAACCATAACTCCATTTTGACTTATTACAGAGTTACTGCCCTTTGTTTCTTTTCCTTGTCCAGAGCATGACTTGAAAACTACTGGTTGGAATTCAAAACAACTTCATACAATGGTCAAGCACAATAAGGGGAAGTGCAGTGCACAAGAACCATAACTCCATCTTGACTAAGTACAGAGTTATTGCCATTTGTTACTTTTCCTTTGCTTTCTTTTGTCTGGACCATAACTTGAAGACTTATTATTGGAATTCATTATAACTTCATACAATGGTCAAGCACATTGAGAGGAAGTGCAGTGCATAAGAACCATAACTCCATCTTGACTAATTACAGAGTTACTGCCCTTTGTTACTTTTCCTTGTCCAGAGCATGACTTGAAAACTACTGGTTGGAATTCAAAACAACTTCATACAATGGTCAAGCACAATAAGGGGAAGTGCAGTGCACAAGAACCATAACTCCATCTTGACTAGTTATAGAGTTATTGCCCTTTGTTACTTTTCCTTGTCCAGAGCATAATTTGAAAACTACTGTTTGGAATTCAGTACAACTTCATACAGTTGTCAAGGACATTCAAAGGAAGTGCATTGCACAAGAGCCATAAATCCATTTTGACAAAAATACAGAGTTACTGCCCTTTGATACTTTTCCTTGTCCGGAGCATAACTTAAAACGTACAGGTTGGAATTCAAAACAACTTCATACAATGGTCAAGCACAATAAGAGGAAGTGCAGTGCACAAGATCTATGACTCTATCTTAAGTATTTATAGAGTTATTGCCCTTTGTTCTTTTTCTTTGTCTTTCTGGACTTATTACAGAGTAATTCAATTAAACTTCATCAATGGCCAACCACATTGAAAGGAAATGCAACATACATGAACCACAATTATCTTTAATTGCCCACAACCATAACTCTATGTTTCAATTCTTTTACAAGGTATTCTGTTACTAGTAACATCCTCATTTCCGAAGCAGACTTGTGGGGGTATTAATCACATTTAGTGATAGTTCTAGTTTTTGATTACTTAAACATTTGGCATACATTGGCCCGCTTTTGCAGTGGTCTTGATTTTTTCTGTGATAAATTATACTGTTACTGTAACATTCAATTAGAATCACCAACATTATATAAATGATAAACGCAATTTAAAAGCTATTGATGTTTGTTCAATATTTCAGCATAACATGGATGATGCTGCTAATGGTGAAGATAAACCACTGTTATCTGACCAAGATCATGAAGATGAAACCAAACAAATAGTTCCTGTTGAGGTTCATGATGCAATACCTCATCCTAATATAGAACAAGGGGATAATTATAATAAGAATGATGATAATATAAAATATAATGATGTAAATAGAGGAGATAGTGTCAATGATGAAAATGAAAAAAATGGTGGACATGAAAATAATGAAACAAGTCTTAAATCAGACAAAGTTAAAGATAGCTCTTTAGACGAGAGAAAAATTGAGACAGATAAACCTGCCACTAAACAGCTATCAGGAACAGACAGGAAAGAAAAGTCAACCGAGAAAATATTAAAAAGAGGAGTGTCTGAATCACATGAAAGCTTGTTCAACATTGAAGATGTAAAAGCTCAATTCAATAATATGGATGAATACAAACGTAAGATAATTTTTGGTTTATTGCCTACATTTGTTAGATCATTTTGTTTTAAAACACTTGGTGATAATTATGTCCTTACATAAATTACTTGGAGAATAATGTTTTATATATTGACTCATCTGCTATAAAGATAGACAATTTATGATATTAAGTTGGCTAAAAGTAGAAGTAAACTACTACTATAGTCCTCTATTGGAATGACTTTAATGAAACAATATTGCTGCTAGAGCTAAAGATTAAAATAAGTATAAAGGAAATATGTTCAATTGAGTCAAAGTCAGATTTTGAATAAAAGTCATCTTAACTCAAGTACCAAGTCTACAAATATATTACATGAACATTTTTTAGTGGTGAGTGGTGAAGGTCATTGACTTTAAACCACTTGCCCCTCTTTGCTGTGGGTTCAAATCCCCACAGGGACTTGGATTCTTTTATGTGATGAAGCTATCTAGCTAGCTTACGGAACGTCGGTGGTTCTACTCAGGTGCCCATTTGTGCCTGAAATAATACACGGAAGGGCACCTGAGGGCTTCCTCCACTGGTAAAGCTGGAACATCGCGATATGACCTATACTGTGTTGATGTGAAGTAAACCCAATCAAACAAAAAAACAATATCTTTAGACAACCTCTCTTAACTCAAATTGATAATTTTGACCAATTGTTAGCAATTATGCTTAGATGGCTTTCTACCAAAGCACAAATGGTTTCAGTCTGATTCAAATTAAATTTACATGAGCTTAAAAAAAGGCTTAAAATGAAACCTTAAAATTCTTCTTCTCTAAATAACAATGCCCACTACTTAGATATTTGGTATAAGTTGTATGAATCATGCCCAGTAGGCAATATTGGCCCTATCAGACAGTATGTGTATGGCATGTCTTCTCCCTTACCCTCTTCAGACCATTATTCTCCCTTGGCCTCTTTGTTTTCTGGGTTTAGCTCTTGCCTTATTCCCATTTGACTTCTTTCCCTTAGTGTTTTGCTGACTGTTTTGGAAGGAGTATTACACTTTGAAATCAGAGTTGTTGAAAAAAAAAATGTACATGAAACTGAAAAAGTTTAGGAAACCTCTGAAGTGTGTGAAAAAACCAAGAACTTTGAATGAGAGACTGTGATGTGTTATTGAGTTTATTGAGTCTCTTATTTTATATACTAGTAGACTTATAAGATATAGGAAAGCTCATTGTAAAAACTGCAATGCTCTCAGCTAAGATATTGGCTTGTATTATTGCCAAACTAACTTTGTTGTTGTATATGGTCAATATATATACACTGGTCAGACAAATTTACCACTTTTTTTAACACATCGTAATCTTGTGGCAAGTACTTAGTAACTTGACATGTATCAATATAGATCTCAACAAAAGTTACTGTATCAGTGTCTCCCCCCTCTGGGGGTCACTTCGTAAGGATAATTAATTTAAAACATGTTCCTGACAAGTATAATCCTTCAACAAATTTGCATTTAGTCATGTATTGCCTCACTTTTCTGGTGCTCTTTTTAAAAATGTTATTAGGCACCATGGAAATTACAACAATCTTTAACAATCTTTCATAAGACTATTATTTTGCTCTGCTTATCATAATACCTTTCTCTTTAGTTATGATCGGATATGCATTGGATGGTAGTTTGAGGTATCTACTGGAAAATATGGAACCGATGTTAATTCATACATGTTTCACAGAAAGGCATATGTTTGACTTCATACCATTGCGAAATATTACTGTAAGTACTAGAACATTGCTGGTAGTTGTATTTTATTACTGTTAATCATCTGCTGTATAGCAGGAAGGGCCTATACCCTCAGCCTGTCCGTCTGCTTTTTTTCCATCTATATGTTTGAGTACATATCACTTTGGAACATTATTGTAAGTATTAGTTCAGAACATAACAGAAAGTTGTATCTTATTAACAATCTGCTGTATAGCAGGAGGAACCTATGTCCTCAGTCTGTCTATCTGTCTGTCAGTTATTCTATCAGTCTGTCAGGCCATCATAACTTGAAAACTAATGAAAATTTAATGAAATATTACTTGGTACAAATGATTACTATTATTAAGACAATGAGCAGAGCACAATAACCAGTTTGCTTAACCTTCAGTGTCCAATTTAAAGAGATCAAATTTTGAAAAGACTACAGTTTCTGTCTGCTCAATAACATAAATCGACTACTGGGACTACTGGGAAGGTTTTAAATTATTTGAAATAAATATGTACCACTTTAACACAATTTGCAATGTGCATGATTCAGGTTTGTATCTCCAAGTCAAGGTCACAAATAGGGGTCAAATGAATTTTTGATTTGGGAAGATTTTGAACTACCTTATATGTACTTATTTCTGTGGGCTTGATATTCTGACATTTTTAGCTGTGATAACAGATTAACAGGTTGTTTATAGCGTGCAATGTATAAATTATTAATTGCACCATATAAACAAATTGTTGTATGTGCGATAGTCCGTCAGTCTTTGGTCCTGGCTGAATAAAAATTATGCGGTCCGAAATCAATTTCGTTACTGTCAGTCCTCATGTTTGAATAAAATACAAGAAGCTAAAAATATCAATGACCTTTTTGATAATAAACTCCCAGTGACACAAAGAAATTTGTTACATAATCTGTCTTCAAAAAGTTACATCAGCAACAGTAAATTTTGTCGTAATTAAATTACAAATTAAAAAATTTTGTTTTATGATGCCTTTTGGAATATCTGATGAATATCAATCTTAAAATAATTAAAAAAATATTTAATCTTAAATATAATCAAAACCAACAACAACTAGAATTTTGAATGTGTTTTGCAGGAAACAGACAATTTTTTATTTGTCACATATTTTCGCTATCCCATTTGTTATAATTTAAAAATAGTAACCAAAATAAAGCTATGTTTTGTTAAAATGTGTGTAATAACACTTAAAATGTAGTTTATGAATTAAAATTACTTTAAGAGTGAATCAGGAAGAAAACAGCATAATGATCTGATGATGTAGGGTATTAGAAATGATAATTCTGAGATATTTTCATCACTTTTCATACAGTGTTTCCCATTTGGGAAATATTACCATTTTCCATAATATATTCAACATGATTTGGGACTTCTATTTTGAAAATCTTAGTGAGATCCATGTTTATTTCAATGGGTCAGCACCTTGTTTAGTTTGTACATTGATGTTCACACAAATTTAAAGAGAGACAATCAGTTTTAAACAGTTTAAAAAAACCTAAAGAGCTTGAGCATAGATATTCAGCATGAAAAATCTTCTTATAGGTGTCTACCAAGTTTATTCAAATAAAAGCCCAGGGGTCAAAATTAGCCCCACCCTAGGCGGTCATTGATTTTTCTTATTTGTACACATCTTTTGGAACTGTTGCTTTCCCTTAACAATAGTAACCAGTAATGTTCTTATACATGCACTTTTTCAGATACAAATATGAACTTTGTGATGTCAGTTTTAGATTTAATTTTATATCTGCTTTTGTTCATAGATTTCAATATTACTTATTCCAAATAGTGTCATAGAGAGTTCAAATCACTTGCTCTCACTCCTGTAGGATTAAATTCAATGAGACACTTTGAATCCTTTCTTGTTAGGAAGCTATTCAGCTAGCTGACAGAGGGTTGGTGGTTTTTCACTCAGGTATGCTGTCATGCAAATAATGCACAGAGGGGCAACTGTGTTATTCCTCAACCAGAAAAACTGGAAAGTTGCCACATGACCCATACAGTGTCAGTGTGACTGAAAATCTAACAAAACTGACAAACTGTGACCAATTTATCACAACCATGACATGATGTACTGATGTTATGCATAGAGCAACAACCAAGTTTTACTGACCCAGCAAAACAAAAAAAGAAATAATGATAAAGAAGCAGTAAAAGAAATTCATTTATGACTGTAAAATATAGATGAAAATTGAAACATGATTAAATAGTCACACAATTAGAACCATGAGAACTTTTAATTGAGCTATCCAAGGTCCATTGTACTCTCTTGTTTAAAATATTGGTACTAAACTACTAAACATGCTACTGTCTTTTGATATCAAATTTATCAGGGGAGGCTGATAGGGCTGAAACGGGGTATAGAAACTGTCAAAATTACAAAATGATCTACTTTTTTACTGGCGATTTTGTTGAAAGGGGCATTTTTTGGTTCAAAGAAGTAATTCTTGAAAACAAATTCAGCCTCCTCTGTAACTTAGAATCAACTTGTAGATGGTGGCTGTTTTTCTCTCAACATGAGATATTTCGTTTGGTAATATCTGATACAACAGAATGTATAGGAATAAGATTCTTCCCTTTGAACATCAATCAAAAAAATATCTCTTTGAATCACAATAACTTATCTGCACATTTTTTCTTGAAATGTCAAATTAAAAAGTTCACATACATGTTTTTCACTTTCAGTCAAAGAAATTCAAATTGGCAATCAAACACAATCTACACAAACATGTGTCTTATTACTATTTGTTCACTTATTGAATAATATTCTGGTGAAACAAAGTAAACATTTACTTATTCTCGAGAAAATTGTCTAGCCTATTTGTTATGTTTATAATAGGCCTATGACGTGACCATTGATGATGTCATTTGCCAAATAAACATCACTTTATTAGTCCCCTACCGGTTTACCGGAGGGGACTTTAGGTTTACCCTCCGTCCGTCTGTCTGTCCGTCAGTCCGTCCGTCTGTCCGAGCAAACATTTGATATTTATGAGCTTCATTCCCTTGTTAAATAAAGAACAAAAACTCATAAAATTCAAATTAAGAGCTATTTTTTGTTTTTATAAGCTAATTTTTCTTATGGACTTTGGTCCAGGTGTAGTTTATGAGCTGATTAACCTTTTAAATATCAAATGTTGGTACGGACGTCCGTCAGTCCGTCCGTCCACAAAACTGGATCCCGCGATAACGCAAAAAGTACTGAAAATATTTTAATGAAACTTGATATATGGATAGATGGCAGTATGGAGATTATGCACATCTTTTTCTTTTCTTCCTATGTTGAAAATTCTGGTTGCTATGGCAACAAATAGACTGAAAATATGGCAAATTTTACACATAACCTGGATCCCGCGATACCGCAAAAAGTACTGAAAATATTTTTATGAAACTTGATACATGGATAGATGGTAGTATGGAGATTATGCACGTCTTTTTCTTTTTTTCCTATGCTGAAAATTCTGGTTGCTATGGCAACAAATAGACTGAAAATATGGCAAATTTTACACATAACCTGGATCCAGCGATAACGCAAAAAGTACTGAAAATATTTTTATGAAACTTGACATATGGGTAGATGGCCGTATGGAAATTATGCATATTCTTTTCTTATCTTCCTGTATTGAAAATTCTGGTTGCTATGGCAACAAATAGACTGAATATCAAGATTTCTGATTCTAGTTTTTAATTTTTTTCACTATAAGTTCTTTATTTCTTAATGTATTTTCTTCAAACTTTAAATATAAGTTGCTAGTCATCAACCACATCATATGTGACAAAGTTTACAACTCTAGCACAAACTTTATCAGAATTACCTCCCTTGAACTTAAAATTTTCATGAAAAAGACATTGTTTTTTTTAATAACTTCTTTTTTTCTGAACGTATCTACTTCATATAAATTTTTCTTATTATCACTCAACATTTGTGAGTGTTCAATACTGAGCAAGATTATTTCCAGAATTATGCCCCTTTTGAATAGACTTTTTTTTGAGAAATTGGTAATTTTTATTCCAACTTCTTCAATCATGATAGGATTTTCTTCAAACTCCCACATCATAATAATATGACAAGGTTTGTAAATCTAGCATCCATATTTCCAGAATTATCTCCTCCTTAAACTTTTAATTTTTCCTGTTCGTTCTTTTAACTTTCATTTATTTCAAATTCAAAATAAACATTCAATATTCATACCTTCATTACTAATTGTTCTTTGTTACACTCACATCATGTATGACATTGTTATCTCCTTTTTTTTAAATTTTGCTTTTAAAAATGTTATATTTTGATAACAGGGATGTTTAAAAAATAACTTTAGAGTGTCCTTCAGTCCGTCTGTCTGTCTGTCTGTACATAAAAACTGTTCACTGTGATCACTTTTAAAGAACTTTTTCAACAAATTTACTTAAAATAAAAACACAAGTGAATGGAAAATAAAAACACAAGTGAATGGCCCTTCAGAATGTTGCTTTGGCTCTTACCGGTAGGGGACTTATGGATTGCTTGCAATACTATGATAATTGCTTGTTAATTTGGTTATTAACGATTCAACATTTGCAAGGATAAGAGATGATATTGTAGAATTCAAAGGATGATAGGTAAAAATGAAAATATATATTTTAAGCTATTGAAAAAAGTAAATTGAAATGGGTGAGGATTATTTTTTATATCAGGTTACTAATCTGATATCAAAAATAACTATCAGGCAAGTGTTATCAGGCAGGGCATAGCAGTTGCATTATAAATTATAATAGATAGCTGCATCTCAACTCTTATGTATGTTAAAATATTATTTTCTACTTTTGTATAGGAGGAAAAGAATAAAACCGACAAATCTAGAGAAATTGTACGCCTTGTGAGACAAACTGGTGAAGACAACTACAACAAATTTAAGAAATGCTTGAGAGATTCAAAACAATATGGTTGTCTGCGAAAGATATTGGAAGTACAGAATAAGTATTTAGCAAAAATAAATCAGCAATCTACCGAACGCCACCGTTGTGATAGTGCTCTAAGTCAAAGTGATTCAGATATTTATAACACATTAAACAGTCAGACACTTGATGATGATACATTTATATCAGATATACCTGAGCACACAGAGCAATCAGGCAGAGATTTAACTGAACACACAGAAGAATCAGACACAGATTTACTTGAACACTCAGAGCAATCAGGCACAGATATACCTGAACAAACAGAGCAATCAGGCATAGGGATAGTTCCAATTTTACCATCACAGGAAACTAAGAGTCCCTGCAAAGCAGGACCTACTGTTGTTCCTGCTCCCAGCGATTCATTAGAAGATATACAGCAGAATTATCAAACTGAAAGTAAACCAAAAGTTAATCTTTCAGAAGTTGAAGAGGTAAGGTTTTGCTTTCAGAAATAAATCTGGTGAGCTTTTAGTTGACTTGCTGAAAAACTGATCTGTATTTTAATCATCCTCATTGTTTAATTCCTAGTCAGAATATAAAGACAATTAGGTGTATAACATTTGGTTTTCTCTTGATTCGATTCTTCGTTATTGTTTTGGGATTCAATTAATTTTGGTCTGATTACTCAGGTTATGTTAACATCAATTTTTCTATTTTAAAACGACATGTTGTGTTTACATTACATAGTTTTTATTGTGTTAGTGAGAACACAAAGTCATAATAACAAATGAACATTTGTTTAATATCAGAAAGGATATATTTTTGCACAAATGTAGACAGCCAGTCAAGTCCAAATACAGTTATGTCAATTCTAGCTCTGAATCCTGGTTTAGCATAATTTGCAAGTAATTGTTTTACTTCTAGTTCCAACAAAGTAATTGTTTCACTCCTAGTAACAACAAAGTAATTGTTTTACTTCTAGTTACAACAAAGTAATTGTTTTACTCCTAGTAACAACAAAGTAATTATTTTACTCCTAGTAACAACAAAGTAATCATTTTACTCCTAGTAACAACAAAGTGATTGTTTCACTCATAGTAACAACAAAGTAATTATTTTACTCCTAGTAACAACAAAGTAATTGTTTCACTCTTAGTAACAACAAAGTACTTGTTTTACTCCTTGTAACAACAAAGTAATTGTTTGACTCCTAGTTACAACAAAGTAATCATTTTACTACTAGTAACAACAAAGTAATTGTTTCACTCATAGTAACAACAAAGTAATTGTTTCACTCCTAGTAACAACAAAGTAATTGTTTCACTCCTAGTAACAACAAAGTAATTATTTCACTCCTAGTTACAACAAAGTAATTGTTTTACTCCTAGTTACAACAAAGTAATTGTTTTACTCCTAGTTACAACAAAGTAATTATTTCACTCCTAGTAACAACAAAGTAATTATTTCACTCCTAGTTACAACAAAGTAATTGTTTCACTCATAGTAACAACAAAGTAATTGTTTCACTCTTAGTAACAACAAAGTAATTGTTTCACTGCTAGAAACAATGAAGTAATTGTTTCACTCCTAGTAACAACAAAGTAATTGTTTCACTCATAGTAACAACAAAGTAATTGTTACACTCCTAGTTACAACAAAGTAATTGTTCCACTCATAGTAACAACCTCACAATAGATATATTTATCCATTTTAACAAGGAAGCATTGTTATTATTGAAATGTTTTTCATCTATCACTCTCTTTACTTCAGTAAATTTGTGTGTAACTGAAGTAAATAGTATTTGAATAGAGAGACTTACTGTACAGATTTGATTTAAGATACAGACGGCATACTTTCAAAACTCCTGTGACATGCACCACTTCCTTAAACAGTTGAAAGAAGGTTATCAAACTTTAATCAATTGTTTATTAAGATGAAATCCTAGGCACATGTGTTTTAACATTGATTTAAAATTTCAGGTCCTGTACTAAGCTTTAAAATGAGGTGGTCTATAGGCACATCTGATGTATATATAGGACAAATAACTCCAAAATTACAATCCTTTTTATGACAAAGCTCTTAGATTAATTGATGCTTGCAAAAATGAACACTATTTGAGAATACTAAAATATTATTGAGGTGATTTAGTTCCCATGTTTCAGATCCTGTCAGAGTACAAAATGCTTGAAGGTGAGCATTTGTGATGGCAAGTTGTCCCTCAATTGTTGATATCCACATTTCCTTTAAGCGACATCTAATTTTGACTATACTTAACACGAATGATATTTAGATAACAATTACATAAGTTACTTAAATAGTTCTAGTCTGATGCATGAGTAGGTCATTGAAACAAGAAATCTTTAAAAGTCTTCTCGTACAATGATGCACCTCCTTGTGATCTAGAAAAGTTGTGTAGATCATGCCACTAGGATTTAAATTGATGCCAGTCTGGGGGTCAATTAAATAAGATAAACTTATATAAAGGTTATGCATTTGAATCTTTTCCTTTGAAACTTAAAGGTGTCCAAGAGTTCAGACATTTAGCATAAACATTGCCTTATTGACTTCTACTAAAGTTATGTCAAATATAGCCCCACTACAGGATCACTTCTGTTACTTTGACTTGTGTTAGAATTAGACTGAAAATGTTCACCTCTTAAACTTAGATATTGGACATAAAGCATAACCCTTTCACTTACAACAATGGTGATACCTAAGGGGTCAAAATTAACCAAGCCTTGGCCTATAAGAAAACACATCTAAAACTTTTTGTGAAAATACATATCCTAGAGCATAATTGTATTGAATGTAGCAGAGGACCTCTTCTAAAGTTTAATGAATTATAGCCCTATTGATAAATGACTCTATTAATATCAAATATATATGATCATCAACCATATCATTTGTGTAAAGATTCGCAACTCTAGGGGGGGGGGGGGGTATATTGGAGTCACCGGGTGATGGGTCGGTAGGTCAGTCAGTCCAGCAGTCTGTTGCAGTTTCCTTGTCCGGAGCATAACTTGAAGACTAATGGTTGGAATTCAATACAACTTCATACAATGGTTAAGCACATTGAGAGGAAGTGCAGTGCACAAGAACCATAACTCCATCTTGACTAATTACAGAGTTATTGCCCTTTGTTACTTTTCCTTGTCCAGGGCATAACTGGAAAACTACTGGTTGGAATTCAAAACAACTTCATATAATGGTCACGCACAAGAAGGGCAAATGCAGTGCATAAGAACCATAACTTTATCTAAAGTAATTATAGAGTTATTGCCCTTTGTTACTTTTCCATTGCTTTTTTTATCCGAAGACTAATGGTTGGAATTCAATACAACTTCATACCATGGTCAAGAACAATAAGACGTAGTGCAGTGCACAAGAACCATAACTCTAACTAAAGTAATTACAGAGTTATTGCCCTTGTTACTTTTCCATTGCTTTTTTGTCTGGAGCATAACTTGAAGTCTAATGGTTGGAATTCAATACAACTTCATACAATGGTCAATCACATTGAGAGGAAGTGCAGTGCACATGATCCATAATGCAGTCTTGATTATTACAAAGTTATTGCCCTTTGTTGTGCCCCTACTTTAGAGGGCATTTAAATTTACCCTTGTCCGTCCATCCTTCCTTCCTTTTGTGTCGCATATAGCTCAAAAAGTATTTGACCTAGAGTCATGAAACTTTATAGAAAGGTTGATCAGCATGTTTAATTGTGCACCTGGGTATTTTCATGTGGATATATTTAGTATATTTAGAGTTATTGCCACTGACTTAGTAAAAATTTACATTTTCAACTTGTGTCACACTTAACTCAAAAAGTATTTGACGTAATTTCATGAAACTTTACAGGAATGTTGATCAGCATGTGTAGTTGTGCACCTGGGTAGTTTTGGTGGATATATTTAGTATTTTTAGAGTTAATGCCCTTGACTTACTAAAAATTTGCAATTTTCAACTTGCATCGCACATATCTCAAAAAGTATTTGACCTAGAGTCTTAACCCTTACAGGAATGTTACTCAGCATGTATAGTTGTGCACCTGGGGTTTCGCTTGTGGATTTATTCTGTTTTGTTAGAATTATTGCCTTTGACTTAGTAAATATTTGCAATTTTCAACTTATGTCCCATGTAGCTCAAAAAGTATTTGACATGGAGTTATGAAACTTTACAGGAATGTTGATCAGCATGAATTTGGTATTTTCATGTGGATATGTTTAGAATTTTTAGAGTTATTGCCCTTGACTTCATAAAAATTTATGATTTTCAACTTATATGGCACGTAACTCAAAAAGTATTTGATCTAGTGTCATGAAACTTTACAGGAATGTTGCTCAGCATTTGAAGTTGTGCACCTTGGGTTTCACTTGTAGATTTATTCTGTTTGTCAGATTTATTGCCCTTGAATTAATAAAAACCGTTCCAATATGTTGTGTTATTTGTTCCTCGAGTGCTTGAGTTAGAACCAACTTTATAGGAATAATGATCAACATCACCGTGAAGCTATGCACCTGGGGTTTTGCATATGGTTTTTTTTAAGTTTAATTACAGTTATTGCCCTTGACTTAGTGTAAATTTACAATTTTCAACTTGTTCATGCATAACTCGAAAAATATTTGACCTGTAGGTCTGAAAGTTTACAAAAATGTTGGTCAGCCATGTACTTATGCACCTTAGGGTTGCTTGTGGATTTATTGAGTATTTGTAAAGGTCTTGCCCTTAACTGAGTAAACAATTTTTAGTTATTGCCCTTTGTTACTTTTCCATTGCTATTTCTTGTCCAGAGAATAACTTGAAAACAACTTGTTGGAATTCAATACAACCTCAAACAAAGGTCAAGCACATTAAGAGAAAGTGCAGTGCATAACACAGTAATTGCCCTTTGATACTTTTCCTGGTCCGGAGCATTACTTAAATAGTACTGGTTTGAATTCAAAACAACTTCATACAATGGTCAAGCACAATAAGAGAAAGTGCAGTGCACAAGAACCATAACTTTGTCCAGAGTAATTATAGAGTTATTGCCCTTTGTTACTTTTCCATTGCTATTTCATGTCCAGAGCATAACTTGAAAACAACTTGTTGGAATTCAATACAACCTCAAACAAAGGTCAAGCACATTAAGAGAAAGTGCAGTGCACAATACCCATAATTCCATTTTGACTAATTGCAGAGTTATTGCCCTTTGATATTTTTTCTTGTCCAGTGTATAACTTGAAAATTAATGGTTTAAATTCAATGCAACTTCATACAGTGGTCAAGCACAATAAGAGAAAGTGCAGCTTACAAGAACAATAACACTGTCCAGAGTAATTATAGAGTGATTGCCCTTTGTTACTTTTCCTTGTTGCAGAGCATATGAAAATTTCGATACATTTTCATACAATGGTCAAGTATATTGAGAGGCAGCGCAGTGCACAGAAACCATAACTATTTCATGACTCATTTAAGAGTTTTTGCCCTTTGTTACTTTTTGTTGTCCTGT